TTGTTCAATATGAAGGTATTTAGTTACATTTTTAGTGATAGAGTTCGTGGAAAATTTGGTATAGTAAATATACACCTTTTGTTGAATTGGGTACATATTTGAATTTTAAAAAATTATTAATTTGATTTTCAGTTCTCAAATAGCACTATACTAGAATTATAACATTTTCAGTGAACCTATATTTCTAACACAATAACACTAGTCTTGTAAAGTACCAACTTGAATAAAAGTATTCAATTATTTAAATACTTTTTAAGTACTCAGATACAAATTTTAAATATTTAAATAAAAAGTACTTTGAGTCTTTAACGTAGTACTTTAAATACCTTTTGAAAGTATCTATATTTTAAGTACCTAAAAGTAATAGGTATGTTATTTAATATTTATAGTTACACCACATCACTAGGTAAACATGAAATTCTCATAAAAATTAATCTATAACAAGAAAATTCCATGTCTCWACTTAAAATTAACCTAAAGGTTGCATTCTAAAAATTCTATTTTATGTTAGTTGTAAATTAGTATTTAAGTATCCGTATAATTTGTATTTTTTTCAGTGCCTATTTGCCATGCTTAAGTTGAACAAATTTACAATTTTGCCTATTTACCTGCTGAAATGTTTGACACACATCTCAAATACAACTAATGTAGAACATACACTAARAACAAGCGTCAAAATCAAATACAATCAAGTACAATTTATAATCAGTCATCACAATGACAGTATAATATGTTTATTTTAATCCGTCAAACGTATAATAATATAAAGTGATTCTATAAGTTTTTTCAATAAATATCAATTAATCAAGTTTGTGACGGGGAAACCACTTTCTTTTAATTCATATTACACACAAAAATAGGGGCTGCTCCATGCTTAATTATAATCAAATACAGTAGGACAAATTTAGTATGATCAAATATTATATATTATAAGAATCTACTCCTACGCGTGATAGTTACCTATAGGTAATATGGTTTGAAGAAAAAAGAGCTTATATAAGGATAGTCTATTAATCACCGTATAGAATCCGTATCTGTATAATAAACTAAACAATTGTCGAAACTAATATTGTTAAAAAAGTTTCCTTAAAAAAAAAAAAACTATAGAATAGGAACTCGAAAAGTCCGAAAACAAACATAATAAATTCAAACAAACGCAAAGACTTCACCATGCGAATATGGAAAAATTTGCTTACAAAAAAAACTATTTACGTATAAAAGACAATATCAAGAGACTTCCGAATATTTGACCCATATGCAGAGACAGAAGGAACTGAAAATTAAATGCCTCTATACCAAAATATATATTTTGTTAAATTAGCAGACTCGCTCTGTTGTATGGTTACAGGCTTTAAGTTAGGAAGCTACATTTATTCGTACAACTTGGTAGGTTGAATTTTTTTTGCCAAAGACATCACAATATGATATATTATAATTAATATCTTATTATAGCCTATACTAGCATACTACAGAATGCTGTAAATATATGTTAAAAATATGTTAAATATATTTTTCTTGAGTTAATTTWAAAAAAAATGTATTGATCAAATAAAAATTGTTGTCTAAATACATAAACAATTCTATTGTGTATATAAAACAACAAAATACGCAATTTTAAATAGTTTCAAGTTTGYACTTGAAACTATTAACGTATTTATAATTACAATTTACAACTAAAATTGTCGGTATTCAATTACTATGAAAGGTACTAGGTAGTTTACTGGGAATTTTCTACTTTTCTTCGTAAATTACTACCAACTATACTAACTATTTTTTTTGTAGATCAAATTTTTTACAAAAAAATAAATAAAAACTCTCGAGATTGAAAATAAACATAAAATGTTTGCTCCAAAATTTACTGGTAGACAGTAGAAACAAACAAAAAAAAAACCAATGTATACGTAATTTTATAACTTTTATTTGACTTAATTTAGCTTTTTCTTATTTAAATAAAGTTTGATACAAGTAAGAAGACCGGCTTTAAAGATAAAAACCAGAGCCGTTAAATAATTWAACATGATGTAATATTGTATAATATATTATTGGATCATATATCTACTTGTATATAAACAACCTATATTACTGCAATACTGCTGTATAATATTTTAATAGTAGTAAATTGACTGAAAAATTAATTTTTCATCACTTAGGAAGGATTTCACCCCCCCCCCCCCAATACACTTATCGTTGAGTACAAAGGCCAATTGATTGTCTCAATGAAGTTTTTCAGTATGTCCCTTGCATCATAACTACAGAATTATTATGCTTCGTGAATATAATAATTTAATAAATCAATATGTTTATTATGCTTAAAATATGCTTGCTTTACCTCGTCCGCTGCGTCCGACGAACCTCAAATCGTTGAACTTGGCAATTTGGTTCTTGACCAGGGCGGAACAGTTGCGCAGCTCGGCCGAACAGTTCTCGTCGTTGCCGGCCTTGAGCGTGACGGCTGTGCCATCCGGTACCTCGGACAGTATGACCACCTTGAATGCACCGGGCAGCGTCTTATTTGACCGCCAGTGCGTAGGCAGGGCACTGCACAGCATGTACGGGCACCCGGTGCGGACCAGCTCGCCCGGGTGCTCGGCGGTTACCTCGTTGACGGCGGCCTCGGTCCACCACAGGTCTTCGGACGGTGGCGAGGACGACGACGACGATGACGAGGCTGTGGCCGCGCCGTGCTGGTCCGCCGAAGACGGGCCGCGGCGCCTCTTCTTGCTGTGGTCCGACGTCATCCGCACCAGGCGCATATCTCGGCGGCGGTGGCGGTAAAACTCGCGACGGTTTTTTTAACTGTCACAATATTATGATATTATTTAAAACCGGYCAAGCCGTCTTGGGCTAACGAAAATATATTTAATAATATAATTATAATTATTATGCAGTTGTCCCGTAGATGTCGGATTTGCAGTGTAGTTATTTCGATTGGTTTTTTTTTTTCTACCGCGGGGTGATAGCGCGCCCGACTTTGATGTGTTTCGATCGCATCGTGCGCGTCCGGACCGCGGATGTGAGCCAACTACTACTACTACTACCGCTGCTCCTGCGAGGACGAACGGTCCACGGACGGTCGCGCGACGACGTGTAGCCCGACGCGCCCGCCGACGAGAGGCGAGAGCGTTTCGGAGTCTCCCACCAACGGACGTTCGCAGACACTCCCATCGGTCACTCCCACTATATATATAATATTAAATTCATCCCGTCGTCCGTGTCCTGCAGCAGAGTATTCCTCTACAGTACCTATGCAAAACTGTGTGCAGGTATAAGATATAATATAATATAAATATTGTTTTATATCTTATATAATATAGTTCTATATAAATATAAATCACGACAAATGTCATATGCAAACCTGCAGGGTTCGTTGGGTTAGGTAGGTTTTGAAAAATTAGTCGAAYRATGCATAATATTATATAGGTAATATACGTATTTTTTGGTACCTTCCTATTAAACTCGAAACACGCACTAAAACTTACAGGGATGATGATAT